GGGAAACCGTATCAAACGCTTTCTTCAAGTCAACAAATACGGCAATCACCTTTTTGCTTTTATCCATTAAATTATCTATTGTGTTTGATACTTCAAAAATTGCGTCATTAGTGCTAAGACCCGTCCTGAATCCTTAGTCCTGAGTCCTTATCTTATAGAATGTTATGCTTATCGAGAAATTCTGTGAGTCTCGTTTTAAGGCATTTTTCGTGATTTTTCACCAAGTTATTGATGACAGATATAGGGCGATAATTCAAAGTACACTTTAGCCTCATCTTTTTTCAACATTCCTTCTTGAGATTCACTTCATTATCTTTTTTATTCCTCCAGAAACACAATTTTATAGCATAACATGGTTTTATTGAATTCGATTGCACAAAAGCACAAAAGTAGCAGGCTATGGTCTGGAAAGGCATTTCTTTTACTGGTCGCATGGAACTTGTGATCATAAATGGAAGCCTCACAGCAGAAAGATACATTTCGGTGATTTTAGAACCACATATAGTGTGAGGATTTTTGTTGATGCAAGATAATTCCAGGCCTTACGTCGAGTTGTGAGAAATTATCTAGAGAAAATCTGTATCGCTATCATGGCATGGTCCGCTCGGAGCCTGGATTTAAATCCCATTGAGAATCTCTTGGACATTCTTGGGACAAGATTACAAGAGGAATGTAATTTGAATACTTTGCAAAACGCATGGCCGAGACGGATGATTCAAACTTGGGAAGACCTGGACCAAGATGACATTAGGTGTCTTATTTTGGGTATAGGCCGTCTTTACCAAGAAGTTCTTCGGGCTCGCGGAGGATATACTCGCTACTGACACTTTCGTTTAACTTGTGACTTCGCATTATGTTTCGTTTTTTCGATATTTAATTTTCTATAAAATCATGTAATGCTATAAAATGGTGTTTCTCGAGTGATAGGAAAGATAATGGGGTGAATCCAAAGTCGAAAAGTTGAAAAAAGATAAAGCTACACTGTGATTTCAATTCTATCTCGATAGTGTAACTACTACACCCTACAGGGTATTACAAATTTCATGAAAAATTGTTACATCTGGTATATATAAAAAGAGGTTTTTATGCGAATACAGTTTCCACACCGATTTTGAGAAGGAAATATCTCATCATCCAAAACAAAAATCGTCCAAATCTGACAAAAATATTTCTTGAACTTTTGACTACTTTTTGGCGGTGTATTAATATCTTGGGGAGGTGTTATTATTTATCAGTAATAAGATGAAAAAAAGCTCTTACATTTTACAATTAATAATGTCAACCAAGATTAGATACTTTATCTTGTAGATTTGTCATAAAGAATATGATTTAGCTAATTTATGTCAATATACTCAAACGTTTTGGCTGGTTTTTCTTAGTATCACCAATACTAGTCAGTTTCTTTATCTATCTGTTATCCGAATTCTTGAGATTATACAAGAAATTACCCAATTGTTGTGTTATGTATTTACCAAAATATATTGCATAGGTACAAAATTACATCACTTCCGTACTGATTAGTTTTATCAGTAAATTCATAGAAAACCATTAACACTTATTAGCAATATTCTTGTGGTACCTTCTCTCTGATTTCTGGGATTTTCTCCTCATTCATACTCATGAAAATAATCAGTTTATTTCAATATACAGTATGTGTAGTAACAAATATCAGATGAATTCGCTTCAAAATGTCACTGCGTTTAAAAATTCCACTGTTAGAGTACCTTGAAGATGATTGTAATGGATATTCAGTGCCACTTCATTTTGAAAAATGTTCGAAAGAAAGGAATATACAGAAATAAAAAAATCAATTAGTTTTTGTCGTTCTGAGAAGGAATCAACTCTTATTTCAACATAAAAATGAAAAATTGTTTTTGCAAATGATTTTTTAATTCTCTCTTTTTGACACATCTCAGTGATATATAAGAATAGAATAATGTGTGAGTTACAGGGAGTTAGATCTTGAATTTGCCATTTTAATGTTCGGATATTATGAGTGAGTACCATGTTCTATATCAACTAAACAACTCCGTTCAACAGAATAATACAAGCGGAAACTGATTTTTTATGTTTCCTTTTTTCCTATGATTTTAATATCATTCCACTCTGCCATATTATGTTGTTCAATTTCAGTATTCTTCTTGTGTTCTTTCGTCCTTACCACTTGTATCATACTTTTCACAAGCACAAGGTATACTGTTGATTCATTTCTCCGATGATTGTTCTTCATTTTTCAATTCTGTTCAAGTTTAATTTTTTTCAGATATGCCGAGAATGTATTGTATTTTTTTATTATTATCATTACCTTTGGAATACAGCCAGGTTAACTTTTAAAGAAAAAATCACCTTTTTAAAAACTTAACACCCTGTATCTCGTGAACAAAGCATTTTTTGGCCCATATGAACTATACAAATTTGAAATCCTTTGTATTTATGAATTAGTACTAACCTCCGAACGGGGTGAGTAGACTTATCTCTTCTGGGAATAATTAAATAGAAGTGGAATATAATAATAATGTTTAATTGATCAATAATGGATACGATACTAGTAGTTATAAAGTTATAGCAAAATATCATTATTTTGTTTTCATCGATTAATTATCAATGCTAGTAACTATCTAAACTTTCTCACACATATGTATGCCATGTGGAATGAGTCCATAAAATCATCTCCATCTTCGAATAGTTACTTTGATTAATGCTCTCGTGTAATTATAGTTATTATTGAAGTGAAAAACATACTAACAAACGACTTACAAATATCCTCGAAATAAAAGCAGGATAGCCGGCTGAAAATTTCGACCGTCGTCTTATTACGAAATAACATGTCCCGAAGGCATGTATCATACATATACATTGTATTTACATACATTGTATGGAATTGTAAATCTCGAAACCCTACCAGTGCCATCCCTTGATCTGAGTCAAATCCGCCGTACAGAGATTTTTGTTGCTACCGCTATACCGGTCATACATTCGTCACGTAATAACGAGTCGAAAAAAGTGCAGATGGAAGAGGATAATGCCCCCTTCGCGAATATACAAACGTGCCGTGATTCAAACTGATCTAAGTTAGTGGCAGAGCATCAATATTTCCCACAATCTTCAAAGATAATATCCGATAGATCATCGGTTCGATAATTTGGTTCATCGGATATTATCTTTCGACTGGCGAAATATTCTTGAAAATATTCACTTTCTGCCACTAACTTGAATCAGTTTGCATTTTGTTTCAACTCGTTGACACGTGACATAAGTATGTCTGGAACAGCGGTTGCAAAAGATCGTTGTGCCGAGAATTTGACTCAACTTGAGGGATGGTACAGGAATGGGTTTTGAGATCTACCATTCAATTAGTATCGGATGGCTTGATTCTTGTCTCGTTATCAAATCGCAAAATTTATTGCAAATTACCGCACAGGAAAGTGCCATATTTCAATCATTTTGCTCAGAATATTGATTTGCACAGGTGCCGTTCGTAAAATACAATGTAGCTACTTGCCTTTGGAACATATACCATTTCGTTATCAGATGACGGACTATAAGATGACAGTCAACTCTAAGTTAGTGTCACTTGGTTTTTTTTTGACGAATATCCAAATAAGTTATGGAAACCATCCATTCTCAAAGTGGTCCAGTATTTTTCAAAAGGAGAAAAAGAACAAACTCAAAGTCGGTCGACCACAAAATTTAATATAAAACACTCCTGTGTGTGATTAGTTTTCGGCACCATGGCCATCTTCAGACACGATAGTAAGGAAGAAGTACCGGGAAATTACAAAGATCTTAAATCTAAGACAATATGTCAGCTGAGAAAGTACATACCTTTTTTTGGAGTAATAACTACATAACTAAAAAAAATTTAAACAGGTTGTATTTAGAAAAATCATCCCGGTTTGAGATTAAATGACTTTGAAGCGACTAAAAATCCAAAAGAACCTAACTAGGAGTAAGTTTAAAATCGGTAATTGAATTAAAGGAGAATTAATAAAAATATACTTGAAGAGCTTCATCTCCATTCGAGGCAAGCCATCGAAAGGAAAGGCATAGAGAGGCAGAATTATAAATGTTGATTTGACTTTGACATTTGACATGACAGTGTTAACAAGTTTGAAGTCAGGATGCAATTTAAATATGAAAAACGAGTAGAATCAAAGCAAACATTAACTAGTTTTGACTTCAATACTGTTTGCTTCGATTCTAATCGTTTTTCATATGTATTTTGGTTTTCATTCAGACTTCAAAATTGTCAACATTGTCATGTCAAATATCAAATTTGAACCAACATTTATAATTATGCCTCTCTAAGGGCTGGTTGCATGATGCTGTCTGTTAATCTGTTAATTTAACGAATAATCCACTCTTCTAACTCATCAGCTAAGGTAGACGTTGCTATGGATACAAACAAATCAAATATTTATTCGTCTGTTAAACGATTTATGCAACCGGCCCTGTCTTTCCTTTAGATGGCTTGCCTCGAATGGAGATGAGGCTCTTTGAGTAGATTTGTATTAATTCTTGCTTAATTCACTCACCGATGTTGAACCTACTCTTAGTTAAGTTATTTTGGCTTTTCAGTCGTTTCAAAGTCATTTAATCTCAAAGAACCTGATTCAAAAATTGTATTTAGTTATTACTTCAAAAAAAGGTATGTACGTTCTCAGCTGACATATTGTCTTAGATTTAAGATCTTTGTGATTTCCAGATACTTCTTCCTTACTATTGTGTCTGAAAATGGCCATGATGCCAAAACTATCACACACATGAGTGTTTCATATTAAATTTTGTGGTCGACCGACTTTGAGTTTGTTTCTTTTTCTCCTTTTGGAATATCCAAATAAGGCTACTGCGTCGTACCATTGCGATTTCTTGTCGTTTCTACCGCATCTGAATATTTCAATCAGGTAAGAAGATCAAAAGGCTGGATTGACTTCATGAGCTCCATGTATAATACCTAGTTAATATACAGAGGACAACTAATATCTACATACATTAAATAATTACGCTACTAAATTAGGCCTCATTAATGCCCCCATGCCATTGCCGAATGGCGAGCCACTAGAGCGCAACAATTCTGTGGCCCCATTCCAGGCTCCTGATAACGGGGCCATTACCAGCCTGAAGGGATCCGGTGTTCCGTTCACTCCAGAGTTGAGTGCCAATTGGATCGGCCTGAATATCGCATCGATGACATTGCTGAATGGCAAGCCATTGGAAGATCCATTCGAGGCTCCTAATATCGGAGCTAATGCCATCCTGAAGGCATCCAACGTTCCGTTTGCGCCAGAGCCAAATGGTCTCATGGCCGTCTCAATGAAATCGCTTGATGAGCGCAAAAAGTCTGAAACCCCATTAGATGCTCCTGTGAGTGGTGGTGAATCCGGCCCACTGGGATTCTGTGTTGCGTTCCCTCCAGGGTTCAATGCTGATCGAAATTGCCTCAGCATCGCCTGAATCACATTGCCGAATGGCGAGCCAGTTGAGCGCAATAATTCCGAAAATCCATTCCATACCCCTAATATTGGCGCTGAAGCCAACCCAACTGGATCTGGAGTTCCATTCATTCCAGAGTTGAGTGCTGATTGGAATGGTTCTATCATTGCCTGAACAATATTGCCGAAAGGAGAGCCAGTTGTGCGCAAAAATTCCGAAGCACCGTTCAATACTCCTAATATTGGTGCTGAAACTAACCTAATTGGATTTGTTGTTTCGTTTATTCCAGAGCTGAGTGCTGATTGGATTGGCCTAATTACTGCCTGAATAATATTGCCGAATGGAGAGCCAGTTGTGCGCAAAAATTCGGAAGCACCATTCAATACTCCTAATATTGGTGCTGAAACTAACCCAATTGGATTTGTTGTTCCGTTTATTCCAGAGTTGAGTGCTGATTGGAATGGTCCTATTACTGCCTGAATAATATTGCCGAATGGCGAGCCAGTCGAACGCAAAAATTGTGAGGTTCCATTCCATAACCCTAATATTGGGGCTGAAGTCAACCCAATTGGATTAGGTATTCCGTTCATTCCAGAATTAAGTGCTGCTTGGAATGGCTCGATGACTGCCTGAATTATATTGCCGAATGGAGAGCCAGTTGTGCGCAAAAATTCGGAAACCCCATTCAATACTCCTAATATTGGTGCTGAAAACAAACCAATTGGATTTGGCGTTCCGTTCATTCCTGAGTTGAGTGCTGATTGGAATGGCTCTATCAATGCTTGAATAATATTGCCGAATGGCGAGCCAGTTGAACGCAAAAATTGTGAAGTTCCATTCCATAACCCTAATATTGGTGCTGAAGTCAACCCAATTGGATTTGGTATTCCGTTTATTCCAGAGTTGAGTGCTGATTGGAGTGGCCCTATTACTGACTGAATAATATTGCCGAATGGAGAACCAGTTGTGCGCAAAAATTCCGAAGCTCCATTCAACACTCCTAATATTGGTGCTGAAGCCAACCCGATTGGATTTGGTGATCCGAATACTCCTGAGTTCAGTGCTGATTGGAATGGCCTTGTGACTGCCTGAATAATATTTCCGAAGGGCAAGCCAATTGTTCGCAAAAATTCTGTAGCCCCATTCCATGCTCCCAATATTGGTGCTGAAGTCAACCCAATTGGATTCGGTATTCCATTCAACCCAGAGTTGAGTGCTGATTGGAATGGCCTCATTATTTCCTCAATAACATTGCTAAATGCCAAGCCATTTGAGCGCAACAACTCTATAGTCCCATTCCATGCCCCTGATACTGGTGCTAAAGCTAACCCAATGGGATTTGGTACACCGTTTCCCCCAGAGTTCAGTGCTGATTCGAATGGCCTCACTACTGCCTCAAAAACATTGCCGTATGGCGAGCCAATTGAACGCAAGAACGCTGAAGCGCCATTCAATACTCCTGTTATTGGTGCTGATGCCAATCCAACGAAATTTGGTGTTCCGTCTACTCCAGAGTTGAGTGCTGATTGGAATGGCCTCAGGATTGCCTCAATTGCATTGCCGAATGGTGAGCCGGTTGAACGCAAGAATTCCGAAGCTCCATTCAATACTCCTAATATTGGTGCTGAAACTAACCCAATGAAATTTGGTATTCCGTTCACTCCAGAGTTTAGTGCTGATTGGAATGGTCTAATGATCCCCTCAATAACATTGCCAAATGGTGATCCAGATGAACTCAAAAATTGTGAGGTTCCATTCCATAACCCTAATATTGGTGCTGAAACCAACTCAATGGGATTCGGTGTTCCATTCACTCCAGGGTTGAGTGCTGATTGGAATGGCCTCAGGAATGCGTCAATTGCATTGCCGAATGGCGAGCCAGTTGAACGCAAGAATTCCGACGCTCCATTCCATACCCCTAATATTGGTGCTGAAGCTAACCCAACGAGATTTGGTGTTCCGTTCACTCCTGAGTTTAGTGCTGATTGGAATGGTCTAATGATCCCCTCAATCACATTGCCGAATGGTGAGCCAGTTGAGCGCAAAAATTCTGTAATACCATTCGATGCCCCTAATATTGGTGCAAAAACCAACCCGATTGGATTCGGTGTTCCGTTTATTCCAGAGTTTAGTGCTGTTTGGAATGGCCTTATTATTGCGTCAATAACGTTGCCGAGTGGTGAGCCAGTTGAGCGCAACAGTTGTGAAGCTCCGTTCCAGGCTCCTGTTATTGGTGCTAGTAGTAACTCGAAAGCGTTTGGTGTTGCGTTCACTCCAGGGTTAAGTGCTGATTGGAATGGCCTTATTATTGCGTCAGTGATATTGCCGAACGGCGAGCCAGTAGAGCGTAGAAATTCAGAAGCCCCATTCCAGACCCCAAGTATTGGTGCTACAGCCAACCCGATGGGATTCGGTGTTCCGTTTACTCCTGAGTTGAGGGCTAATTGAAATGGCCTTATTATTGCGTCAGTGATATTGCCGAACGGCGAGCCAGTAGAGCGTAGAAATTCTGAAGCTCCATTCCAGACTCCAAGTATTGGTGCTAAAGCGAACCCAATGGGATTCGGTGTTCCGTTTACTCCTGAGGTGAAGGCTTGTTGGAACGGCCTCAACACTGCTTCAATGATATTGCCGAATGGTGCTCTGTTTTGAACTTCGGCGAGTCTCGAAAAGAAAGGCCCCATCAATGTCGAGTGAATACTGGAATTTGAGGTATCGGAGCTCATATTGACTAGACGAAATATATCCGATGCAACGTTGCTGGCTCCAGGTATCGAGGAGAATGGCGCTAGTAGTGGCAGAATACTATCGCCGAACCTAGAGCGAAGAGCTGCCAAAGATGCCGAAATGAAATTAACCCTGTTCAAAAGATCCGATCGGATATAATCTTGCAGTGGTCCAAACCCGATATTTCTAGATATTATTGATAGTGGATTGTTTTCCGCGATAGGAAAAAATGCATTCAGAGGGTTATTGGTGCCAGAAGGAAATATTCCACCTGAAGGATTGTTGCCATCAGAAGGACCGTTAGGTGGAAATAATCCCATGAGAGGATTGTTCGCGATTTGAGAAGCTATCGAACCAAGAGGATTCATGCCATTAGGAGGAAAGATCCCTGCAAGAGGATTGATGCCATTAGGAGGAAAGATCCCTGTAAGAGGATTGGTGCCATTGAGAGGTAATATTCCCATAAGTGGATTGTTGCTAGCAATTTGAGAAGCTATCGAACCAAGTGGATTGATGCCATTAGGAGGAAAAATCCCTGTAAGAGGATTGGTGCCATTAGGAGGAAAGATACCTGTAAGAGGATTGGTGCCATTAGGAGGAAATATTCCTGTAAGAGGATTGAGGTTGGCTATTTGAGAACCTATAGAGCCGAAAGGATTGGTCAAGTTTGGAGTAAATACACCCATAAGAGGATTGTGGTTGGCGATTTGAGAAGCTATCGCGCCAAGTGGATTGGTGTTATTAACAGGAAACATTCCCGTAAAAGGATTGTTGTTGGCGATTTGAGAAGCAATCGAGCCAATTGGATTGTTGCCATTGAAAGGAGATATTCCAGTGAAAGGATTATTATTCGCCAATTGGGAAGCCATTGCGCCAAGTGGATTGGTGCCGTTTGGAGAAAATATTCCCGTGAGCGGATTGTTGTTCGCCATTTGAGAAGCCATTGCACCAAGTTGATTGGTTCCGTTCGGAGGAAATAGTCCCGTTAAAGGATTGTTGTTCGCTATTTGTGAAGCCATTGAACCAAGTGGATTGGTTCCGTTCGGAGGAAATAGTCCCGTTAAAGGATTGTTGTTCGCTATTTGTGAAGTCATTGCTCCAAGTGGATTTGTTCCATTTAGAGGAGATAGTCCCGTGAGGTTGTTGTTCGCCATTTGAGAAGCCATCGAGCCAAGAGGATTGGTACCATTAAGAGTAACCAATCCTGTAAGAGGATTGTTGTTTGCGATTTGAGATCCAACTGCATTAAAAGGATTGTTGTTTGCTATTTGAGATCCGATTGCATTGAGAGGGTTGTTGTTTGCGATTTGAGATCCAATTGCATTGAGAGGATTGTTGTTTGCGATCTGAGATCCAAATAAATTCAGAGGATTGTTGCTGAAGTTAGGGGCGATGCCATTCCCAATTATATTCAAAGGATTAAATGCCCTAAGTGCGTTATTAACAGTGTTCGTGGCGTCTTGAAATCCATTATTGAGTGTCGAGCCGATAGAACCCAAAGGTGATGTTCCTTGGTTGGCGAAGTTTCCGAATCCTGCGGGCATCAGGTCGCTGCCGGCGTTGTTGTTGCTAGGGTTCAGGAGGTTGAAGGGACTTTGCATTCCAGACCTGCCCATTTCTGTGAAATAATTAGTAAATACCGGGTAATTTAAATTTGACGCCACCATTGGGATCTCGGAAACTATAGGAGATACGAAGATGGTAAAACTGAAAATTTGTAAAAACTTTTCTGGCATAGTCGTTGAATAATATCAAAATTAATAAAACACACTTTTTCCCTGCTATACAATGACATTTTCAGATTCACCATCCGACGTTTCATCTTTACGCCACCATTATCAATTTTATTTTTTCTTATGAGCTCCATATCTGACTTTCATTAATAATGATAAATTTTGCTCTTCTGATTTTAACGATGTATAACACGTTATACTTCGCAACCTCCAAAGCTTGGATATTTGAAAAAATATATTGTTTTTGTAATTGACCTTGACTCAGTCAATAACAGCATAGTTGAAGAATGTCGGTCTATAAGAAGAAGGGATGTAATAAGGGCTGTAAACAATTTAGGACAGAGCAAATGCTGACAAGTTAATTAAATAGTTTCATCATGTCTGCTTCTTTTGGAGAAATCATTTTACGTTTATTATTATTCTGAAAGAGTGACAGCAGACGTGAAAAATGATGATGTTCAACAAATCGACTATTTTGACGAGTGTCATTTGACTGCAGTGGAGTGCAATGGTACATATGTTAGGGGTAGGCAAAAATTTAAAAATGTGAAATGCAAAAAACAAAGATGGAGATGATCCGACATTGAGCCGTTCCGTTTTCGTAGTAAATCCTGAGATGTTGCCTATTCACAAAACTAAATTGGGAATGTGACCAATGGTTGTCGCACTATCACATTTCGCCAATAAATCTGTAAATTTCAGAATGTCGGCACAATTTCATCCAAAAAAGTAGCCGTAATTGCGATAAATCATCACACCTGGCAACATTGAGTCCCTGACCGTCTTCCGTATGCGCTCTTATTATTGTTCGTAATCGCTCAGATCCCCGGCCGGTGGAAATCGGCCCGCTCTGCGTCGCCACGGCTCGAGTGTCAATGGCTTGCTGGTCGAAAGCAATGCTTTTTCGCTGCATATCAATTTCTATTGATCAGGCCAATTGTTTTGTTTTTATTTTTAATGGGATGCTTATTTGCTTACACAGAGTAGAGTGCCAATAACGGTGGCGCAGCGGCTGGTTTATATTCGTTTTTACGGATTGTATTGTATTATCATGAAGAGAGGTTTTTTTGTCGGATTTTTGAAGTCTGAATTTAACAGATCTTATTAGTTGCTTACCTCTAGTATTGTATTTATGGAAGTCGGCATTTATGTCAAAATTATTTTTCTTCTTGAGTATCTCAAGGATTGACTGAAAAATATAAATCGAGGGTACCGTCATGACTCTTAGAGTTAGAAAATGAGGTCTACAAGAGTCAGCATAGCCTATACCTGCTATGCTTATTATTGCGCCATAGGATATTCGTGAATGAAAGAATGCATAATATGCCGCTAATTGGGCACGAGGACTGATAATAGTTCTCAATTTCTGTAGTAGAAATATGTATTTTGATAAATTTACTCACAGCTGCTCCGTGTGAGTTGACTAATTTAGTTTGTCATCCAGTGTGATGGGGAGCAGTTTCACACTATTGCCATTAGCTTCCTGAGTATTAGAGGTGAATACGATATGTTGTGTTTTATTCTTGTTTAGTTTCAGGTTGTTTACTCTGAACCAGGTTTCGACTTTTTTTATTGTTCTTTAGTTCTGACCTATTTTCACACGAGCTTGTGAGAGTTCTGTCATCCGCGAAAGCAACACATCCATATGGGACATATTTGGGAAAAGGTCATTTATATATATAATAAATAATAGTGGGCCCAGCACTGAACCCTGTGGAACCCCATATTTCATTATCTCGAAATCAGATACACTATTTGAGTTCAATGCAACGCAAAGTTGTCTATTTGATAGATAAGATGAGAAGAGTGAGAGAGTTACTCCCCTGATACCATACCCTTTCTAGTTTTTTAGTGAGTAATGAAGTGTGACACACAATCGAATGCTTTTGTCAATTCACATAGAGCAGCTGGAGTGTGTTCACAGTTTCAAATCCTTCAATGATTTCATCAACTATTATATGCCCGCAAAAGGGAACTGTGTATCGATAATTGGAATTTTTCTGGGGTAGGCAATGAATGCGCAACTTTACCCTAATTTAACCATCCTCATATCTTCTATTGTTTCTGAGATCCCAATGTTGAGGATTGAATTTGAAACACCCGGTATAAACTGATGGACGAATTGAGTGGTCCACCTGAATATTTCACGGTCTTTTGAAATCAAAACCTTCGAAAAATACTGGTCAGACTGTGGAATTATTTGTTTCGAGCTGTATAATAATTTAGGTTCAAGATTCGACATCTACAGGGTGAAATCAAAAACAATATTTTCAAAGTCATCCCTTTTACAAGATGAAAAATTTTTTTTTCGCGGCGGCGTTTTGTGAATGTTTGATGTGATTTGACAGAACGTTTTCGAGATTTTTTCTGCTAGCCGATCTAAAAAACATTGGATATTTTTTATTGCAATAGATTTGATGCCAGGTTCCTTAGTGAATCATAGCCATTACATGATCGTTTCAGACACTATTTTTTCTATCACCAATGAATAATAAAAACAAAAATTAATTTCTTACTATTCATATTTCAACATAAGTATTTCATCGTCATCATTCCTTGAATCGTCAGTACTTTTGACGCGTTGTCATTGGATGTCATTTGAAATTAAATGTCAAACAACTCTAGTAAGTGAGATAGAAACTAAGTTCCACTTATTTATACCCAAGTACGCGTTCCTATTGGCCGAAAATCCGTCTCATAATGAAAAGTACGTGTCTTCATTGCTCAAATTCTGTATCATAATTAAATAAGAAATCGGTTGTAGATACTTAATTCTACGGGAGTAGAAAATAGCTATTTATATATCAAGGTGGTAAAGGTATCCATTTTCTTCCGCGTGTAAACACACATGGGAGCAAATGAACCTTGAGGTTATGAGTTCTGTGGAAAAAACCTAGCCAGTGCCACCTGTAGCTGCTCGGTGCTAGAGTTCGGAACACGCTATTTGATTTGGATAGAGCATGCAATATTCAGGTGGACTTCATTTGTCAATCAGTTTTCTTTACTAGAAAAACGATATTTTTCAAGTGAATCATGATTATTATTAATATTATTGTAGATTCTCTTACCCGGCATCCGCGGAAAACCAAGATTGAGTAATCCTTGGCTGGAACATTTCTCGAGAGCAACTGAAATCAATTACTTTTTGTTACATTACTTGCATGATCATATTGTCATATTATCATAAAATGAGCCGACTGAAAGGAGGAGACCTTGATTGTTTATACACTTTCTTCCAAATGCATATCCGAAAATATCCTAACAATTTCGTGAATTTGGATGGAACAAATATTTGAAATATGATGCTTGTGCGTGTCACTATTATGAAAATGACATTAGAGAAGGGGTATAAGATATGTAATTCGATAGTATATTGTTTAACTAGCACGGTATAATACTCATGCTGCGAATCATACGAAATTCGTAATTTTTCGGCTTGTAGCCATCTGATTTTCTGAGAACTGCTCGTCTATTAGAGAGAGCTGTCATTGCTTAAAATTTGACATTTCATTGGAGATGAGATTTTGTGAAATAATAACACAATGAAGTCATTGTGATATCAGATACGGAAATGAAATTGATGACATACAAAGTTCCTCATTGATTTATCGAAGACAATAAAACAAGAACAATTTGGTTTCATAGCCGTAGAAAGTAGTATATTGTTCAACGAGCATGGAATGACAGTGATTCTAGTAGGAAATTAGCATTCCGTGCGAGTTTCACACTATTATTTTTCTACGACTGTAACAGGTAACAGCGGCCTTTTTGATTTCTTCGTCTTGTAGCCATTTGATTTTCTCTTGAGTTCTGCTCATCTATTAGACAGAGCTGCCATTGCTTGAAATTTGAAATTCTCTGGGTGATGAGATTTTTTCGAAATAATAACACAATGGTGTCATTGTGATATCAGATACGGCAATAAAATTGATGACATACAAAGTACCTCAGTGATGTATCGAACACAGTAAAACAAGAGCAATTTTGTGTTATAGCCGTAGAAAAAATATATTCTGAATGAGGTGTTCAGAATGTTTTGCGGTTGTTAGAAAAGTAAAGATTCTCACATAGTTAATGACATTGTTGGTATGGTAGACGAGGATTTTTTTCATTCCATTTCTTCATTCAATGTTATTATTTGTTATTTACAAAATCTCGAAATAATACTCTAGGAGTACTGAGTACCAGGAATGCACACTTTTTTTCGAACATTATAAAAACAAGTATTGTCAAATTATCAAAGATATCATTTCGATCCTGGTTGTTGAGATCAGATTCTTTACATGGAACAATAAATTTCGTTTTGGGCAACAATTATTTTTCTTGATATTTTGTATTTTATTATTTCTTATTTTTCACCAAAAACCATCATTTATGTGATCTGTTTCGTATTTCTTCAGTTTCTGTAGGTTGGCCAAACCATATTATACAGATTTATTAAAACTAACCGGCATAGAGGATTGTTATGTAGAATTTCCAATTCGAAAAATTCGAAAATAGTTATTTATGTATTAAGTGAATTATGAGGGCCTTAATTACCGATGGCAAAGTTTGCGTCCCGAGGGCCTCTGGCCCGAGGGACAGCAATTGCCAGAGGTTATTAAGGCTCTATAATTCCCGTGATACATAGATAATTTTATTTCTGACTGATTTCATTCATTAGATACCTTCCCGATTGGAAGTTAGACATGTTTTTCCGTATAGTTTCAATGTCATCAGAACGTCAGATGATGATCTTGACTACCGCGAATAGGAGATTCCTTATTGTTACGTTATTGCGTGGTTGTTGCTATGCATTTCT